GTGTGTGTGTGTGTGTGTGTGTGTGTGTGTGTGTGTGTGTGTGTGTGTGTGTGTGTGTGTGTGTGTGTGTGTTGTGTGAAATATATCAATCGAAAAATAAAACTAAACAGAAAAGAACAACTCCTGAATAAAACTTCATATTGTACATAAATGGTTTGTTCTGTGTAAAGTTTTGAGCTCATGATTGTAGTGTTTCTGTAATCTCTTTATGAATGTTTCCCTGTGTGTTGACACACATCCCTCACCTTCTTGTGCTGTGTATTCAGTTTCGATGATCCTGGCCAGGCCGAAGTCTGCTATCTTGCAGTGCAGCGTCTCGTTGACCAGTATGTTGGCTGCTCGCAGGTCACGGTGGATGTAGTTCTTCTTTTCAATGTAGGCCATGCCCTCGGCTATCTGTCATTTGCACAAATTTATTAATGTGTAACTGCATATCTCACATTTTATTTTTACAGGACAAACAAACCGCTCACAGCGCATTTCTTTTAGTCAAAGTGTAATATTTCTTAACAACTCTGGTGTACAACGTGTTGTTTTTTTGTTCTGGCAGATGAGGTATAGGCAATAAGGAGGTTAAACAGGATATGCCAACTATCAGGAAGTTGACTTTTTTTATTGGGGGCAAAAAGGTTCTGGTTAGAGTAGGGGAGGGCTCTGTGTAGATGGAAAAATAGCATGACTTCCTGTCCGGATGTTAATAATTGACGTAGCGCGAGGCTTTCAAGCCAGATGAGCAAAAGCCCCGCCACAGAAACCACACAGCTACTGCTGACAGTTTCCATGTGTGTTCACAGCATGGCTGATGTCAGCGAGGCAACTACTGTACACAGGTTTTCAAAGTGTTACTGTAGAGCAGATAGAGGCGGTGGCCAGGTATAAATAGGCAGTAGATTCTATGTTAAGGGCCAGTGTTTTTGTTTTTGACCGTGATCTAAATGCGTCAAAACGTCATATTGTGACAGACAAAACAAGCAGCTGTCGGTGAAAAAAACAAAAATAGAAATAGAAGCACTCAGATAAAAATGTCAGATGACAATTTAAAGATTTTCCAGTTCTGAGCTAAAGATTGGAGAAAAAAATGGTGTCGTCACTGTGATGCAAATATCACATAACTGAGATTGTTATTTAAACAGCTTCCCACCTGTGCTGCCATGTCGATCAGTTTATTCATCTTCAGCTTTTGACCTTCTTCTGTTTTTAGAAATTCAAGAAGGCATCCTGGAGATGGGAAAAAAAGATGGGAAAAAAGACACAATTCAGTCAGAAATACTTCATTTTTAAAGTCAAATTGTTAGCATTAGAAAGTAACTGATTTATGTTTTTGGATTATTATTAACTCTCAACATAAGCTACAAAACTTCACGTTGCACAGTTTTTTAATGAAAGGATGTAAATATAATGCATATTAAAATTGAACTACAATGTTTTTGATTAATGTCATTTTTTCTCAATAAAAAACACAGACTGACAGTTTCATAAGAACATTTTGAGAGGCTTGTTTTTTATTTTAATTTTAATTGAATCTATATTAATCTATCCTATAATCCAGAGGAGCCCAAAGTGGGGCCCGCGGGCCAAATTTGGCCCGCCAAGCCATTTGATTTGGCCCACAAACAGTTGCCAAAGTTACAAAGTTGTAACCTGTTATCCTATAGGTAGAAACACAGTATTTCCATTGGTCAAATGACTGCCGATATATAAAAGGTCTGTAGTGAAGGTAGTTTTCAGTCATGGTGCTGACATATCTTTGATTTATTAGAGTTAAACAAGAAACATGAAATGACAAGAATTATTTAGATCAGATTTAACCCCGCATGTAGATTTGCACACTTTATAAGGCCACAAAAACTCATTTTATCGATTTATGATATGTCCCATGAGCCTTTGCTACTTGAGCGTATGGCAGACTTTCTCCAACTGCACAGACTAAAACAAAAAAGGGCCATTGCACAGCTTAATTGTTAAAAAAAAGGAATTTAGTTAAAAAAGTATTTGTATTTCATGTATTATATAACTACACTTGGCCCACAGCCATGGATAGATTTTCATTTTGGCCCCCTCGGGGAAAATGTTTGGGCACCCCTGCTATAATCCGTCTTGACCCTGCAGGGCTGTGGCAAGCTGGTGCCTGTTTTCGATGGTTGTTGGGTGAGAGGCGGGGTCAGTCCATCACAAAGACACTAATGGCTCAATCACATAATACCTCCAGCCAGGATTTGGACGTTTTTGGTGTCCTCGGTGTAATTTCAGAAATAACGAAGGCTGTGAAAGGTGTCGAAATCAACCCACCTCTGATGCACATTTATACGTCTAAATGAGGAAATAGAGCCGAAACATTGACGTGTTTTATGTGACCACCCAATCGTGCGACTTATCACCGAGGAAAAACACATGATGATGCACAGCTACTTCATATTAAACAGAAAAAAATGGTTAACCACAAAAAATAAAATAAAATGCTAAACTGAGTCCTTTGTTATCTTTTTTTAAGGCAGACATCTGGCACACTTTAAATGCATTGCATGCTTTTTTTGGTTCTGCAATGCTCATGCGGGATGCAGCCACACTGTGATTTCTAAATAACCAGGGGCAACATAAAGACACAAAATTCTTAAATATATGTGTCGCACAAGATATCATATAAGAAAAGCTTAAAAACATGTCTCATTTGTTTCTGTTTGTTTTCAGATTGGGCGAAAAATGAAGGAGGAAAAGATAACCAGAATGAGTTGAGATTGAAATGTTTAGTATTTGGAATGCACACATTTTAAGGAAAAAAAACATTTTATTTTGGATTTATTTTTGAAATTGTAATTTTTAAAGTCATATCTTACAGTGTAATAGTGTCACAGAACCTGGGCAGCTTTTGTTTGATGAGAACTTTATTTGTAAAATGTAGAATTTATTTTAGCTGTTTTGAGATTATTTTAGCGTTCAAACAAGCATTTTTCACAAAATTCTGAGCAACGCAGAGCTACGCCAAAAACAGATTCAAATGCGACACCATCGAGGGTAGTTTGGTACGAAGTGAAATTCTCTGATTTTAAATCAACCCTCTAAATCAAACAAGAGAATATAAGACATGTTTTTACTTGATGACTTAGCTTTGACTGTTGAGCATTTCTTATGGGTTCGTGTTTTATTTGTTGCTGTTTCTCTTTCTTTTTATCTCCTCTGCTTTACCTCAAGCATTCAAGTTGATAGACATGTCTTTACTGCCGATCAAACTTAGGCAGAGTAGTTATTGTAGAGGAAACTATAAAGACATTTATGTTTTATCTTCCACTGGTCAACCAGGGGCACCTCTAGATAGTTTTCAAAAGCGGAGCCCCTAGGGGTGGCCCACCAAAACTTACAACCTGAAAGATTAGCTGATGTTTTTTAAGTAGCACATTTCCACAATATGGGAGTCAGAGATTTGTTGTCTGATAAAACGTCTACCTCAGTTCTTTATTTTGCAGTTGATGCTAATTTAAGGGCAGCACAATCACTGCTCAGTTCATTCAAGCTTTTTTTCTTAATTCATCTTTATAAAAATTATTTATTATGTACATCTGACCATGGATGGCCAGAGCAGAGGGACAGCAACTGTCTGATGGTGTCCAATGCCACCACTGTACTCAAACTCCGGTTTTTTTATTGCTCACCATTGACCATGAACTCTGTCACAATAAGAATGGGCTCCTTTGTGACGACGGCGTGCAGTCGCACCAGCCGTTCGTGCTGCAGCTGCTTCATCAGGTTCGCTTCCTGCAGAAAGGCCTCCGGCTCCATCGTTCCCTCCTTCATAGTCTTTATAGCAACTTTCTGGGTGCTCTTGTAGTAACCTGTTGTAGATATTTGAAACAGACTTTCTTCATTCCTCACAAAGTCTTGATATTTAAAGATGTTTTCAATCACTAAATAAAGTTTTCTCGTACCCATCCAAACTTCTCCAAACTGCCCGGCCCCCAGCTTCTTCACCATCTTCAACGTTTCTCTGGGAATCTCCCATTGGTCCTGCTCCCACGGCTGCTGAAGCGCCTTCGGCTTGCAGGGAGCATACAGCCGCAGGCACAGCCCGTCCGCTGTGCCTGCACCCCCATGATGCACGACAATTCAGAAAACAGGTTGTATCGTCAGCATCGAAATAAATTTACTGAAACAGTTTGAGAAACTTCCATCTGTGATATTAGAAGTTGCATGATTTTATCAGGTGTTTGTGCTCTGGCAGACAACGTGTGGCTTTTTTTTTTCATGTTGTGGTTCAGTCACAGGAGAGAAAAAGACTATTAATACGTTCACACAGGAAATGCAGAAACACATCATGGCACTTTAGGCTTTTTATTTAAGTATATATATTTTTTGCCTTACGTTGGAACTCAGACCTTAGGATTCACAGCTGGGACATGAAGCAGGGACTAAACCAACACAAATGTTTGAAAAACTTGATGAAAGAACTCTAAAAATATTGATGTATATATGTTTCACTTACGACTGTAGTATTTGACCAGGTCTTGTAGGGAAGTGAACGTGTTTGAGGGGGCGATGTAGTAGCCACCTTTGTCCAGACATCGTATTTTGTAGTGTTTTACCACATCTCCCTGCTCTCGATCGCAGTCTCTGATCGACAGCGAGTAGGAACCTAAGGTTACGCAGCAGGTTCAGTTCTCACGGCTGGAGCATAAGACTTCTTCAAACCAGATGTACGTGCATGTTTTCGACTCGGCTCACCTTTGCAGGTCTCGCTCTCTCGAACCAGAAAGGCACCCGGTTTATTCCCAGGAGCTAAAAGCAGCCGTTCGGTCTCCCTCCTGCTCAGATCCTTGAAAAACCATCTGTGCAATTATAAAACAGGGACAAAACTTGTATAAGTTTAAAAACGAACACAACAAAACTACAACAGTGCATTTGCAGTGTTGAAAGTATACTTCTCCTCCTCCAATGAATCAGCTCTGGCCACAAAGTTGGATGGGATGAAGCCTTCCTGTCCAGTGGTCAGAGATTTAGCGAGCCACCATTCTCCACTCCTACAGAGCAGACGCAAACATGGATGATGCTGCTTCTCCAGCGTAAAACGCTCTGAACGCCGTGACGATGTCACTTACTCTTGCAGAACTTTGAGCCTGTCTCCCTTTTTGAAAGGCAGATCTGTTTCGTTGCTCGCGTTAAATTCGTGCAGGGCCACAAACACATTTTCATCTGAAGAAGGGAAAAACACAAACCTTTACTGACAATTTGGCTTTGTGTCATTTTTTTTATTTATTTGTTTTGCATTTCCTATTCACACGCACTTATTTTAATACATCACGCTAATTTGAGTGAAGATTGTTCTGTTTTAATATTGTCGTGACTTGAAAATGACTTTCCTGTGTGCTCAGTCTTCTTTATCTTATCCCCAGAAGAGAAGAGAGGAAATTCAGCTGCGATATCAATCACTAACTGCGGCCCTGTGCTGCAGATATTCTAACATTTTCTGTATCTAATAAATGGAGGCGTATCACTTTTAAGATAAAACTCAGTTTTATAAAAAAAGGAAACAAAAAAGTGTTGCAGTGATGGGGCGTCTAATAATTACCGTTAGCTGAGTAGGAGTTTTCGTTTTGTTTCTGAAAACAGAAAAGAAAGTGGGGGGTTGTTAGTCCGGCGGAAGACGTTTGATGATTTAAGACGATTATGACAAAGTGGTCATTTGTGGCACTTTAAGGAAAACGTTTGTGTCTTTTATCCTCTTTTTATACTTACTGTCTGGTTTTGTTTTATTTTGTAAAATCCTTCCTCTTGTTTTTGTTTCTGGTCACTGCAAGTGCAGCCCATCCTGTGTGTTACAAGGAAAAGTCACTTAAGTTGTGGATTTGGACAGAAGAAGTTCACTTTGTTCGATAAAAGCCTAAAGCTGTTGCACAACCAGCCATGTTAATGCAGCTTTTTATTTATTTATTTTTTTTTAATTTACCTGATTAAGCCGATGAGCTTCACCGTTTTCGGGTCACTGCCTTTGACTTCATGCCCGGTCTGAAAAATGGGTTCAAATCATTCTTGTATCCTCAGTTGTGTGTGTTGGTCACAAGTCAAACTCCACCAAAAAAAAAACATAACAGGAAGTGGAAAATATATTTGCATTTTCTGTGATAGCAATTTATCTTTACACACATTCAAGAGAACCAGGCTTCGAAGAAACAGGAAGATGAAAAATAGTATTTAATGCATCGTTGCGATTTTATTTCTCAGTATTTGCATTATTGGGATAAAAGCATCTGTGGCGAGTAAAGTTTGAATTTATTAGTCTCAATTAATCAAATTCATTGAAGATTTTTTCTTTTCCTTTTTTTCCCACAATACTGGACTTTGACAACTTTTAGATTGTTTGTCACGGAAGTTAAAGTTTATGATTTCACATGCAAATCGGTGTAAATGGGAACACTTTGTGTCCAATAGAGACGGACCTCCGGATGAACTTCACCTTTAAAACACACTGAGCTTTTATACTTCTGTAATAAAAATAACTTTCACAAAATGCCAAGGAGCCATTTTACATAAGATGTGACATTTTATACAAAGAATAATAATAAATATGATGATAATTTGAAGAATATTCAACAGTTTCCATCATCTTGGTGCAAGAATGTTTTTTCAATTTTCCTTACATGCAAATAAATCGATTCCTTTTTCTAAGCTCACATTATTTATTCATATTAAAATATTTATTTATATTAACCTCTTAAGATAGTTTGCCTATTAGTTAGTTTATTATCATTTAATGTCTACCATTTTAAGAGTTTTAAGTCAACACAAGTATCCGATTTTGGATGTTAAAATAGCTTGTTGAAGTTGTTATATTTACCATTGACACTATGTATATTATAATAAAGTAAAAACTCTACATGTCAGATTATGGGATGACGAATACAGAAATAATTCGGAATAATGCAGAAGGTAAATACCTTGAGTTTTTTGTCCAGAAGTTGCCCAGGTGCAAAACGTCTTGAGTTCTCACAGTGAAAACAGACCCCTCGTCAGCGAGTTACTCTCACTCAGTCTGGTTTGAAAAGTTTCAGTCTCACTCTCTCGCTCTCTCTGTCTCCCTCTCTTACACACACACACACACACACACACATACACACACACACACACACACACACACACATCAAACACACACACACACACACACACACACACACACACA